CAGCCTAGCTCACAGCAGCCTCAGACTCCCAGGCTCAATCGATCCTCCCGCCTCGGCCTCCCAGAGTGCTGGGATTGCAGGCATGTGCCACCGTGCCTGGCCCAGGAAACATCTCCTTGTACCGAATGTGAAACCTCCAGCTGGACCCAAGCTGCCTCGCCAAGGCCTGGAGAGCTGGGGCCGGGGGTGAGGGGCTTGTCACCACGCGCTGGGCAGCAGTCTCGTGACGTTCTGGGCCCAGCCCCAGCACTGCACACAGGGAGGGTGACGAGGACCTCTGGCTTGAGCCCCCGGCCACCTGCTGAGAGGCTCCTGGGGTCTGTCCCTGATCACAGTGGTTTTTCCCCAGAACCAGTCCCAGCACTCAGTCCCCATGGCCAGGGCGCGGCCCACAGGACGCGCTTGCCCAGGCCCAGGCCCCGGGCCCACGGCCGCGCAGGGCCATGTGTTGAGGCTGGTCCCAATGGGAGAGGACCAGAGATGGGCCCATGCCCTCTCCCCGTTCCCGCTGGGCTGTGGGCCCTGGGCGTGGCTGAAGGGCGTGTGACTGTCCCCCAGCGGCCAGCGACAGCGACTACCCACCGGGGGAGATGTTCCTGGACGGCGACGTGAACCCGGAGGACTCGGGTGCCGACGGGGTGCTGGCCGGCATCACCCTGGTGGGCTGCGCCACCCGCTGCAACGTGCCGCGCAGCAACTGCTCCTCCCGCGGGGACACCCCGGTGCTGGACAAGGAGCAGGGTGAGTCCCGGGCGCTGTCCCCGTCCCCCGGCCTGCGTCTCTGCCTCCTCGCCCACATTCGCCTCTCCTCCCGCAGGGGAGGTGGCTGCCGTTGCCAACGGGAAGGTCAACCCATCCCAGTCCACAGAGGAGGCCACGGAGGCCACGGAGGTGCCAGGCCCGGGCCCCAGCGAGCCAGAGGTGGCGGCAGTGCGGCCCGGGCCCCTCACGGAGCACGTCTTCACCGACCCGGCGCCCGCCCCGCCCTCCGGCACCCAGCCTGGCAGGTGGGCTCTCAGGCCAGAGCGGAGAGGGCAGCGGGGGAGCCTGGCAGGGTCACAGGCTACCCTGGAGCCACCATCCTTCCCACAGTGAGAACGGGCCGGAGCCCGACGGCAGTGCCGCGCAGCCCGGGCCGGAGTCCGGCGGAGACCCCGCGGGAGCAGGCAGCAGTGCCGCGCCCACCATGTGGCTGGGAGCCCAGAACGGCTGGTAGGCAGGGCCCTGGGGCAGGGGTGGCGGGAGGTCCCCGGCGAGCCCAGCCCACCGCCCAACCTCCACAGGCTCTACGTGCACTCGGCGGTGGCCAACTGGAAGAAGTGCCTGCACGCCATCAAGCTGAAGGACTCCGTGCTCAGCCTGGTGTAGGTCCCCCCGAGCCGGGCCGGGTGGCGGAGGGTGCTGGGTGGCCCGGCCTGTGCCCTCCCTGCATGGCGTGAGCTTGGCTCCACCTCCCACCGCAGGCATGTCAAAGGCCGTGTGCTGGTGGCCCTGGCAGATGGGACGCTAGCCATCTTTCACCGTGGCGAAGGTAAGGTCTGGTGGCCCTGGGCAGGTGGGCAGTAGCTGGCGGCCCTGCCTGAGCCGGGCCAAGGGGCTCCCTGGGTCCCCGGGGCCTGTCCTCAGCCCAGCAGGGACGCCCCAGCCCCCGCCCAAGAGTGGGCTGGGCCGCGGCCAGGCTGGGCAGGTGTGGCGGGCGCTCTCCAGATGGCCAGTGGGACCTGAGCAACTACCACCTGATGGACCTGGGCCACCCGCACCACTCCATCCGCTGCATGGCCGTGGTGTACGACCGCGTGTGGTGCGGCTACAAGAACAAGGTGCACGTCATCCAGCCCAAGACCATGCAGATCGAGGCGAGTGCCGCTGCGGCCTGGGCTGGGCGGGGAGGGGAGGGGAGGGGAGGGCGGGCTGTGTCACTTCCCACTCACCACGCGGAGCTTCCCGAGCCCGAGGGAGAACGTGGGCTCAGACAGGCCGCTCACGTGTTCAGGGCCACGGGCCGGGGAGGGCAGCCATCCTGTGCGGGGCCAGCCTCTGCTGTGCACCCCTGAAATGGAAGCCCAGGGACACCTGTGTGGGCCCTGTCTTCCCTTAGCCACCCCGAGGCTCAGGCTCCTCTGGGGGCCCGGACGCCCCTGCAGCCAAGCGGGCGCCGGCTGGAGGTCGGCGTGGGCTGCAGCGGGCCGGGCCCCACCCTTCCTCCCCCTCCACACCCACTGACGGCACCACGTCCCCACAGAAGTCATTTGACGCGCACCCGCGGCGCGAGAGCCAGGTGCGGCAGCTGGCATGGATCGGTGACGGGGTGTGGGTGTCCATCCGCCTGGACTCCACGCTGCGGCTCTACCACGCCCACACCCACCAGCACCTGCAGGACGTGGACATCGAGCCCTACGTCAGCAAGATGCTGGGTGAGGGGCTGTGCCGGGCGGGGGCGGGGGCGGGGCCTTGCCCGGGCCGCGCCGACCGTGCCCTCCCGTCTGCACTGCAGGCACGGGCAAGCTGGGCTTCTCTTTCGTGCGCATCACGGCTCTGCTAATCGCGGGCAACCGCCTCTGGGTGGGCACTGGCAACGGGGTCGTCATCTCCATCCCCCTGACTGAGAGTGAGTGACCTGGGGACACTGCACAGACGGCGAGGCCGGGCGGGGGCTCGAGAGCCACTCGGGAGGACGAGGGCTGCCCTGGCTGAAGCCAAACGCAACCCCACCTGCCCCTGCCGACCTCCTCTCCTCTCTCCTCTAATCTCCTCTCCCTCCCGCACGCCGCCGGACCCCAGCCGTGGTCCTGCACCGAGGCCAGCTCCTAGGGCTGCGAGGTGAGTCCAGGTCCCGCCTGCTGTGGCCGCGGGTCCCGGCAGGCACCTTCCTGCCCTCCCCTCGCCTGCTGGGAAGCCGGGGCCCCCCACACTGGGAGCTCAGCCCCTCTCCTCCTGCCCTGTCTCAGCCAACAAGACGTCCCCCACGTCCGGGGAGGGAGCCCGCCCGGGGGGCGTCATCCACGTGTATGGGGACGACGGCAGTGACAAGGCGGCCAGCAGCTTCATCCCCTACTGCTCCATGGCCCAGGCCCAGCTCTGCTTCCACGGCCACAGGGACGCCGTCAAGTTCTTTGTCTCGGTGCCAGGTGAGGGCCGGTGCCAGGTGAGGGCTGGCCGGCTCCCTGCCCCCGCACCCCTGGGCGGCTGCCGACCTGAGGTCCTTCCGCCCCACAGGGAACGTGCTGGCCACCCTCAACGGCAGCGTGCTCGACAGCCCGTCCGAGGGCCCCGGGCCCGCCGCGCCCTCGGAGGCCGAGGGCCAGAAGCTGAGGAACGTGCTGGTGCTGAGCGGCGGCGAAGGCTACATCGACTTCCGCATCGGTGAGTGCGCACTGGCCGGGAGGCGGGCCCCAGCGCTGGCCGTGGGGACCGGCCCTCACAGCTGCCACCCACCCCCAGGGGACGGAGAAGATGACGAGACAGACGAAGGCAGTGGGGACGTGGGCCAGGTGAAGCCCGTGCTGTCCAAGGCGGAGCGCAGCCACGTCATCGTGTGGCAGGTGTCCTACACGCCGGAGTGAGGCCACCGCCACCCCGCCCTGCCTGACGCCAACATGTACATAGGACCCCCGCCCACCTGCCCCTCCTCTAACCTCTCAACCTGCAGCTTTCACCTGAGGCCCAGCCCCTCCAGCTGGCAGGGAGTGCAGCCACACGGGGCAGCTGGGAGGAGGGAGCAGGTAGCATTTTCCGCCTGAGAGGGGAAGACCCTTTCAGGGACACCCTTTCTCCAGTGGCTCCTGGCTGGTGTCCAGCCCAAAGTCCTCAAGTCCCAGGGCACCTCAGGGCCGGAGTGAGGTGGGATCCAGTGTGGGCAGCTTCTGCAGGTGACGCCCGAGTCTTCCCGCCCTGCGCCCACCTGCCTTTGCATGCTGCTGGGGGAGAGGGAGTGGGTCTCAGCCTGTCCCCCAGGCCCTCGTTCTCCCTAAGGGAACTGGGCCGGTGACGAGCCTTTGCCCAGGGAGGTGGGGCTCAGGCTGCCTACGTGCCTGGCCCCCAGCTGGCCTTTGGGCCTCCCCGTGTCCCCAGGCTTCTTTCCCTCAGCCCCCACTCTGGCATCCCCCTCCCAGGGACCTGGCATGAAAGCACGGGGCCAGGCACCCTGGGGCAGCTGCTCGAACAGGCCAGCCATCCTCATCCTGCCGGAGCCCCACCAACCCGTGTCTCCCCCGGCTCCACCTGGGCAGAAGACTGACCCTGGAGGAGCAGGGCCCTGGAGTCCTGCCCTCCCAGAAGCCCCTAGGGTGGAACCTCTCAGGCTGCAAGGGCAGGCCCAGCCTCAGGAAGAAGGGGAGGCCCCAGCCTCTGCTGGGGTCAGCCCTAGGGTGCCGGCTCAGCCTCAGGTAGATGGGGGACAGTGTGCTCCTGGGGCCTGCCTCCTGCACAGGGCTCCAAGGAGCCCAGCTCCCAGACACGCTAAGTGCCTAGGGTTGCCCGCTGCGGCCTACTCTGAGAGCAACTGATGAACGAGGCTGCCCAGCAGAGGCCCAAAGGGCTAAGGAGTGACGTCCAGCTGGGCTCTAGGCACATGTGGGGCGGCCACCCTGGACTGCCCTACCGGGGCGAGTGGGCCGCGCTGGTCTCTCCCCACCTTCCTAGGCACAGGCCCTGAGCAGGGCAGCCCAGCCCTCTGCCCACCCCTCCCACCAGAGAAGCACAGACCTCGGGGAGCTGTCCCACAAGCCCAGCTGGCCCCCCTGACTGCAGCCACACCCGGCTGCCGGCTTCTCCCCACCACCCGCCACCTCCACTGTGATGTACGTCGGGTCCCTTGTCTGTCCCACAGGATCGTGAAGTGACTCGGGGGCTAGCTGGGTGGGCGCAGCTGGGGGAAGGGGCCGGGTGACGACTCTCCTCAGGCTTTGGCCCTGCAAGTGAACCCACATATCTGCTCTGTATGTAATAAACGTCTTAACGTCATATCTCTGTTCCTGGGCTTAAACCAACAGGCGGACAAGGACTTTCTTCTGTTTATTATAAAAAGAAATGCTAGACCAAGCTGAGTGTGGGGGGTCTGCCGAGGGACGGTTCCAAGGCTGCTGTGCATGGTGGCATCTTGGCAGGAAGGCCCAGCACCTGCCAGGGCTTGTGGGGCCTGCACCCGCCCACCCTAAGGGAGGTCCTGCAGGGTTACCACGGTCCCTGGCGCAGAAAGGATGTTCCAAGGCCTGAAGTCTGGGTGGGACCCGAAGGATGTGGTTATCAGAGCTGCCTCCAGATGCACACATCTGTCCAGAGGGCTACTCATGCAGCCAGTGCCCGACGCTGTCCTCCCAGCACACGAGCTCCTCCGCGCGGAACCAGAGCGCGATCTCCCGGCGAGCGCTCTCCACCGAGTCGCTGCCGTGGATCACGTTCCTGTGCGGAAGAAGCGCGCCTGAGCGTGGGGCCACAGGGAGGAGCTTTGGGCAGGCAGAGGTGGGGGAGGCGGGGCCGGGCTGGGGCCCTCCCCCGGGGCGGGCCTTACTTGCCGACCTCGACGCAGAAGTCCCCGCGGATGGTACCAGGCAGGGCATCAGCCGGGTCCGTGGCCCCGATGAGCACCCGCGAGGCACGCACGACGTCCAGCCCCTGCCACACCTGGATGGGCAGGTCGGGGTGTGGCGTCAGCGCAGGGCCAGGAGTCCTAGGGGCCACCCGCCCGCCCACCGGGCACTCACCATGGCCACCACGGGCCCCGAACTCATGTACTTGACCAGGCTGCCGTAGAAGGGGCGCTCGCGCAGCTCTGCGTAGTGCTCGCGCAGCAGCTCCTCGGAGGCCTGGGGAGGAAGGGACAGGCGACCTGAGCTGAGGCCCTGCGCCACCTCCGCATCCACCTGCACCAGCTTCAGCGCCAGCCCCTGCGCCACCTCCGCACCTACCTGCACCAGCTTCAGCGCCACCAGCTTGAAGCCCTTGCGCTCAAAGCGCCGCACGACCTCGCCCACCAGCCGCCGCTGCACGCCGTCGGGCTTCACCGCCAGGAAGGTGCGCTCGTGCACGCCGGCGCAGCCTGTGGGGACCAGGGACAGGGCGTGAGGCCCACCCGGCGCCGCCTGCCACCGCCCCCGCGCCCGCCTAGCCGGCAGCGATGCTCACCCGCGGGGAAGAGGTTGGCGAAGATGGTTAGCACCAGGCAGATCATGATGGCGGCGGCTGCCTGGCCCGGCGGGGTGGCCGGGGCGGGGCCTGCGCTTAAAGGGGCCTCGGCCGCTACTGGAAGGCGGCACCCTGCTCTGGTTCCTGAGGCTGCTACACTTGTACCCCAGGAATCCAGGGGCCCTAGGGGGCCGCGGGGCAGGTGCAGAAGCCAGTCACCACCAGCGGTTCAGACGCTACTGCTGCCCCCATCCCGCTCAGGTCTCCCCACCCACTGGCGCCTGTTCACCCCTGGGCCAGCTGCAGCCTTTCCCTCCTTGCTCTGCAGACAGCTCGCCCTGGCCCCCAACACCAAACGCAAAGAAACCACAACCCGGGTTCCTGGTTTTCCTTTATTCTGTCCACATCCCAGCGGAAGCAACAGTAATGGGAAAAGGGGAGGCCGTGCTCCCCACTTTCTCCCAGCAGCCTCTCCTGCGTGGGCCATCAGTTGCAGCTGGGGGTTGGGGAAGACACAGGTGCAGGGCCCGCCCGAACCCATTCCACTAAGATGCAGCAAGTCACCGAAGATTAACTCCAAGCTCAAAGGGGGCTGACTCCAGTGTAGCCCAAAGATTTTCATTCCTCAAAATGGTCCCCATGACCTTACACCCCTCAGATAACCTGCCAGCTCTGGCATTTCAGACCCGGGTGCCCTTGGCCTTTCCCTTGGCCTCCAGTTTTGCAGGGTAGTCCCAGGGTTGGATGCTTATCCTCTCCAGACTCAACATGGGTTCCTCAGTGCTAATGTCCCCATTTTTCTGTCGCTCTGCGAGAATCATCGCCCGGAGGAGCGGTGGGTAGGGCACGGAGCGTACACCCTGCTCCGGCTTTGGCGTGAACGCAGTGAAGGCCTCCTCCTCGTGCTTGGGCACCAGCCGCCAGTCGTGGTACATAGTGTGTTCGATCTCCCGGGCCTCATTCTCTGTCTTCCCTGGGGAGAGAAAGAGGTTTCTTTCACACACTCGCTGACAGTCTGTGTCCTGGGCCTGTCTGCCCGCCTGGCGCCCAAGCCTTACCTTTGAAGGTCAGGATGCCCCAGGCCTTTCCGTGGTCCAAGTTCTGCAAAGCAAGTGGAAAGGCGGTCAGCTAAGGAAGCTCCCTGCCCGCTGGAGATGAAGAGGCTGGATCCCCGTCCCACAGACGCGCATGGAGGAGGGGAGGGGAGGCAGCGCTGCCCCACGAGCTCCGTGTCTGAGGGGGAGGCCCGCAGGGCCCGTCGCGGAGGGGCGGGGCGGGGAGGGGGGAGGGCGGCCCGGTCCCGGCGGCGCACGCGCACCTGCGCTGTGTAGTCGGGCCGGACCCGCGTGAGACGCCAGTAGCACGGCTCGTCGTGCTGCCACAGCCAGGACTTGCGCGTGACCAGGCGGCCCAGGCCGAAGAGCGGGAGGTGGCCGAGCAGCTGCAGCAGGCGGCTCTCGCGACGCACGTCGGGCCAGGCGAGGACGGGCAGCCGGCGGCCCGTGTGCGGCCGCGTCAGCGTCTCGTAGTCCAGAGCGTAGCGCTGCGAATCGCGCGGCCGCTCCCGCTGCTCGCGCAGGGCGCGCACGCGGCGGGCCAGCTCCGCGATCAGCCGCGGCCGCACCTTCTTCCGCGCCATGGTCGGTCCGTTCTCCCGGCCGTCCGGCCGGAAGCCGCCCCCGCCGCGCTCCCCGAGGCCCGCGCGCCGCCGGAAGCGGCCGGTGTCACAGGCAAAGGCGTCCGGGCGCGGCCGGAGGGGAGGAGACCTGGCCGGCCATGGCGCCGGCTGGGTGCGGCAGGGCCGCGGGCTCGCGCAGGGGCCGGGGCCGGAGCCGCCCGCGGCGGCCCCCGACCTGGGAGATTTCGGACTCTGACACCGAGGCCCCCGCCGGCGCGGAGGCCGCCGAGCAGGCCCGAGACCCGGCCGCGGAGCGCGGGGCGGCGGCAGAGGCGCTGCGGCTGCTGCGGCCCGAGCAGGCCCTGAGGCGCCTCGCGGTGCGCGTGGACCCAGGTGCGGCGGAGGGTGAGGGTCCCGCGGGGCTCAGGCTGGGCCGCCGCGCCCGCGCATCTGCTCGGAAGTTGCCTTTCACCCGAGGGAAGTTGTTCTTGGGCGGACAGGGGTGTCCCTGCGGCCGCCTGCTGCCCGGGACTTTGGGGCGGCTTCCCCGCGGGGCGCGGCTCCGCGCGCTCGGAGCCTGCGGGCCGTGCCTGGCTGTGCCAGGCTGCGCCCCCTGCCCGAGGAGGGCCCTCGTGCGGGCGGAAGGAAGGAGTGGCTGAGCTCTGTCTCCCTCCGGTGGTCTCAGCCATCCTGGAAGATGCCGGCGCTGACGTCCTCATGGAGGCCCTGGAGGGCCTGGGCTGCGAGCACCGCATCGAGCCCCAGCGCCCCGCCCGGAGCCTCCAGTGGAGCAGAGTGCGGCCGGACCCCTGCCCCTGCAGTGTGAGTGTCCCAGGTGACTGCAGCAGGAGCCCCGTTTCCTCGGTTTCCAAGCGCCAGCCGGGGTTGGGTGTGTCCTGTCCACGGTTTCAGGTCCTAGGGCTGTCCCAAAGGGCTGTTGCTGTGGCCGTGCACGTCTTGCCTGCTGGAATGGAGCAGGGCTGGGCCCTAGAGCCTGAGCTCAGCTGCTGCTGAAGCCTGTTCCGTCCCCCAGGAGGCTGTGGTCAGTGTTCCTGCTGGCCCTGTGGAGCCTGGCTGGTCTTGACCTTGGCAGGAGACAGAACACTTGGCTGTGGCCATGCACAGAGCTGCCCGGCTGAGGCCCTAGGTGGGCCTCACTGTGTCCTGGTTGTCCCCACAGGTGCTTCCCGAGGTGGGGACGGCAGAGGAACAGGAGCTGCTGTTACTTCTGGAGCCTGAGGAGTTTCTGCGCGGAGTCGCCCAGCTGATCCAGGTGATTGGGCTGAAGCAAGTCCCTTTCCGCCAGCGGTGAGAGGCTGGGTCCCCAGCCAGGGCACTTGCTCTGCCAGTTCCTGCCCTGAGGGAGAGGAGCTGGGGCTGGGACTCCTCTCACGTGCCAGCAGGACAGCACGTGGCCCCAGGGATTGACCAGACACCTTTGGCCCAATGAGTACTGTCACCCTGGGGTGGGCTCCCAGCCTCTGATCTCAAGGAAAGGGCAAGGGGTGGCAGGGAACATTTTTGGATAACAGAGCTGAACAGAACAGGAAGTTCTTTCCCAGCTTGTGGATGGCATGGAGCCAGAGGGGCTGGTGGGTTGACTGCCCTTGGCCATGGGGAAGCCGAGCAGCGGGGCTGTGTGCCAGCTAAGGACAATCTGAAGGGCAGTGTCCAGGTTCCTTCTGCCACCTGGAGGCTTGGGGTGGCACCCTAGAGAGAGAAGCGATGGAGACTGAGGTGAGGTTTGAGGGTGGGACGAGAAAGTCTCTGGGCTCTTTCTTGGGCACAGACAGGATCTTCCGCTGCTCCTGGGGGGTGCAAGCAGCTGTGGGTGCTGGGAGAGCGAGAAGCACAGGAGTCTGGCAAGAGGGAGCCTGGGACTTGGTTGGAAGTGTTGGGCAGGGCTGGGGCAGGTGTGGGGCCCTGTGACCAGGACATACTTGGCTTGCAGCAGAATGTGCTCTGTTGACTTTATGCTGTGAGTGAGATTAGTTAGACCTAATCTGCAGGTGCATGTGTCCACATATCCGTCTTTATCGAGCACCTTGCTGTGTGCTGGGTAAACGCCAGGACTGGGTGCAGAGGTGGACTAGTGAGTGAGCACTCAGGCCAACTCTTCTGGAAGCTAGGGCACACCCGGGCTTTCTTCAGGCCCTTGACCTTCAAGGAGGCGCAGCTGGTTTTTGCAGATGAGTGACAGAGCGGAACCGCCAGGCTGTCCTGTTACCACTGGCTTTTTCTGGGGTTGTTGCTTTCTCAAGGTGGCCAGGGCCCTTGCTGCAAGCCCCCATGCACGTGGTGCACGTGTCTCCCTGCGGGTCTGGCAAGCCTGGCCGGGGCTGCCCTGGTTTCCTCCCGACGTCCCTTCCTGGCCGCCACCTGCTGTCATCGGTGGACTCCTACCTGGTGGTACCTCACCTGTGCCCTGGCTGCACATGGTGGGTCAGAGGAGGGTGGGGGGTGCCTGTCGGTGGCTGGCTGGTGGCCTGCTGATCCCACTGCCCTGGAGGGGTTAGAACTCAGGGAGGGGCAGACCCATAGGGAGGGGAGCCAAAGGGAGCTTTCTGCTCATGTCTCGCCAGCCAATCACCCAGGCGCCAGCAGCCTGGGATGAGTCCAGGAGGGGCCTGCCTGCCGAGGGATGTCAACTGGCCCAGAGGTAGGAGGTGAGGGCTGGTTGCTGGCCGGGTGAGTCGTTGGCTTGGCTTGTGGGCTGCTCTGCCGGTTTGGTTCCGCAGGGTGGCGGTGTGGGTTGGTCTCAGCTCAGTGTCCACGGGGTCCCTCCTCTGGCCACACCCACGCTCGGGCCCTCCAGCCCTGGTGCCGCTCTGCAGCTCTGGGCGAACGTGTGACGTGCTGCTGGTGGCCTCCTGGCAGGAGCTGAGTCAGCACGTGTGCGCCGTCACCAAAGGCCCTCGGCCAGCGCCCTTCAAGTGCGTGGGCCTCCTGCCGGGCTGGTAGGGCTGTTCTGGCAGGGGAACAGGATCACCTGGAGGGTTTGGTGCACTCCTGGGCCTCTGGAGGGCAGAGCTGGGCAGGGAAGGCGCTGCGGTGCCCGCTGGGGGGAGGGGTTATGGGGAGGTGAAGCTCTTACAAGGCGCTCCATTTGGGCCCCTCCCTGTCTGCAGGCAGTCCAGGCAGTCGCAGCCTTGTAACTTTGCACAGCAGGGCGCTGGGGCAGCGGGCAAAGCATTGACGGGAGACACGGCGCAGGGCTACGGAGGCCTGGTGAGGCATGATCAGGCAGTTTAAACCTCAGCCAGCCCGTGCGCAGACGCTGTTGTCACTGCCTTCCCCTCAGACCCCGCCTCCTGGCCAGCAGTGGTCTCCCACCGCCACCCACCCCACAGAGGCCAGGCCCTCTAGCCCCCCCCTCATCCCACGCCTGTCCTTAGCACTCGCGCCTGGCAGCTCGAGCAGGAGCGCAAGGGTATCCTGGCGGACCTCCCGTGAACCAATGACGGCCGGGGCCCCAGGTTGGGCCGACTCTCCCGCCGGAGTGTATCCTCGCTTTCTGACCACCACCAACCCCGACCTCCTGCTGGACCTGGGCTCCTGACCACGGGCTTCGGGCCCAGCGGGAGGCCTCCTGCCTGCCAGCAGGACAGCACGTGGCCCCGGATTGACCAGACACCTTTGGCCAACAGATACTGTCACCCTGGGGTGGGCTCCCAGCTCTGGATCTGATCTCAGGGGAAGGGCAAGGGGTGGCAGGGAACATTTTTGGATAACAGAGCTGAACAGAACAGGAAGTTCTTTCCCAGCTTGTGGATGGCATGGGGCCAGAGGGTCTGCCCTTGGCCATGGGGAAGCCGAGCAGCGGGGCTGTGTGCCCAGCTAGGACAATCTGGAGGGCAGTGTCCAGGTCCTTCTGCTACCTGGAGGCTTGGGGTGGCACCCTGAGAGAGAAGCAATGAGGAAATCTCTAGGGAGAAAGGAAGTGTCCCCCCCGGCCTGCCTCTTCCCAGCAGTGTCAGGATGGAGCCAGAGTCTCCAGGAGAAACATCGTGGACACCAGCGAGCCCCGGACCTCCACGTGGGCTCGTTCAACCTCACAGCCGTGTGGGTGTTGGAGATAGACTCTGTTTATTACAGTCACGTGAGTCTCTGCGACAGAGGACCGGCAGCCGATCACATGCAAAGCAAGTCAGGGAAAACCAAGGTCGCAGAGGCAGGAGCAGCCGGGCTCCAGCGAGGCTCTCCTCCTCGGCAGCAGACGGCAGCCTCCTGGGGCACTCGAGGTCGGCGGCTGCTTTCCCGGCCAGCACAGGCAGTGGAGTGGACTGGGACACCCAACGGCCTGCGGCCCTGGAGTCCCCACAGGAGGGACTGTCTTGGCCTCCGGAGGCAGGGAGACGGTTCTAGACACCTCACCCCTCACCTCCCTCCCCTGTTGCCCTGGAGTGTGGCCGGAAGGAAGGGACAGAGAAAACAGCTGTCCCGGCCCAAGAAGGCAGTTTTCATTGGAAAATAAGTTAGGTCCGTCGGCAGCGTTTCCTTTGGCAAGGCCTGGTCTCGGGGCCGCTGGGACTGGCCGCAGCCGCCTTGGGCGAGGGTGCAGGGGGCTTGCGGCGGCTGCAGTTCATGCTCAGCACCCAGCCCAGCTTATTGCGCAGCATCTGCTTGAGCCCAGGTGGCAGGGGCAGGCCCTCGAGCGTGTCCCCCGAGTCTGGCCGCAGCTGCCGCAGCCGGTAACAGCACAGGTACTGCAGGGAGGTTACGCTGGCGCAGGAGCGGATCACCTTCATGCTGCTCTTGGCCGCCGTGGAGCACACCATCGGGTAGAACTTCTTGTTCTGCAGCTTGGTGGCCGCCACTCCTGGAAGGGAGGGCCTGGCCTGAGCCCTGTGCCAGTGAGTGGGGGCAGGGAAGGGGTGTTGTGCTAAGGTGACCGGGTGAGCAGCCGAGTGGGAACATCAGGACTCAGCTTTGGCGCACAATACTCCAGCCTGGCCTTGCACTGGCCCCTGGCCCACCCTCTGGGGACCCTGGGACTCCTGGCTTCTAAGGGAAGCCCTGGTCGGCCCGGGACAGGCCTGCCTGGGCTGGGGTACTGCCGCCCTCACCTATGCACTTCCTGTTCTTAAAGAAGGTCAGCGTCCCGTGCCAGGTGTCCAGGTGCACACCGATGATGGAGCCCTGGCCGAACCTCGAGGAGAAGCTAGTCTTGTCTCCCTTGTGATGAAGGAGCCCTGGGGGTGGCCAGGGTGGGGTGAGCACAGGAGCCCGGCCTCTGCCACGCCCTGCCCCCCCCTCGGGCTGCACGCACCCGTGTAGGAGAGGCCCCAGCTGTCCTCGTCCCTGCCAAGCAGGCTGCAGAACGTGTGGTGGTACTTGTCCAGGTCCACGTCTGACGTCCCGATGCCCACCATCTGGGAAGGAGGGGGCTGGGCAGCAGGGCCTCCAGGGCCGGCCTTCCAGAAACACCCCCCCAGGCTGGGGGCCACTTACCATGTCAGTGCCGTAGACGGGCGAGGTCATCTTGATCTCCCAGAAGTGCTGGCCCTCGCCCAGCTCCTTGGTGCCCCGGATGGCTGCAGTGCCACAGCTGTACTCCATGTGGAAGCTGACCTTGCGGTTGTCACAGCTCAGCAGGGTGGCCGAGGACTTGTTCAGGTCATCCCAGACCCAGTCAAAATCTGCAAGAGGGAGGCCCAGGCTGGGGCAGGCCCCGGAGCCACCCCCAGCTCCCCCTGCCCACCTTGGGCCCTGCTGGCGCAGTCCTGGTGGCGCAGCCCCCTGGCACTCACGCTCGTCCTCCTCCCCGCAGCGGCAGTCCTTGCCCCGGTGGGCCGCGTGCAGGCTGCTGCAGGAGGTGGCCTCGCTCTGGCCGGCACAGTCACAGAAGGACTCCCCGGTTACCGGCACCGCACTGGGGATGGACGGCGGCAGGGGCGAGCTCTCAGGGTCGGAGTCCGAGTCGCTGTGCTGGGAGGAAGGGATGGGCCGTCCTGCCTGCCACCACCCACTGCTGGCCCTGACCCCTAAAGGCTGAACCGCTCTGACCCGCTGAGACAGGGACTGCCCCGTGTCCCCCCTCACTGCACAGCCAGCTCACAGTGCCACCCACGGTGACCGCGACACACTCCTGCCCACGCCTGGTGCAGGAACTGGCACAACCTGCTTCCCACAGGCCCCTCGTGCCACTGCTGTGTGGGAGCGGGCGCAAAGGCTCCAGCCCACCTCTGCACCAGCAGCGCCCTGGAGGCCCAGCCGCTGATGGACGCCCAGGGTGGCACCCAAGCTCCCTGCCCAGCGTTCTCAAAGCAGATTCTGGGTCATAGATAAGCCACAGGCCCTGCCCTGGGGGTGGCAGCATGGGTCCCCCAAATGGCAGCTGGGCTCCTCACAGCATATGGTCCCCTTGCTGTCCGTGGCAAGGGGTGGCTCTTTCACGAGGCCCAGTGGCTCATGCTGCTGCTTCAAGCTTCTGCTGTAGGAAAGCTGGGACTCGGCCACACCTTCAAGGGGCTCAGTCCTGTGGCATGTTCTCCAAGTCCTGGGGTCCTGATCTTGGCCCAGCGGCCAGACACCAAGGCTGAGCTAGCCAGCTTCTGGCAACAGACTGACCCCCAGGCCCTCCTGGGAGGCCAGCCAGGCCTGTCCAGACATGCCCAGGGGCCAGCAGTGTAGGTCGCCTCTGCTGGCCTGGGGGACCGAGGCCAAGCCTCCACCCTCAGCTGGGCCCTGGCTCCTTCCTCTAACCCCGGCAGACCCTGCTGCCCTGAGGAAGCCCACGGGCCTGCTGCAAGGCATCCCTGGCCCGTCTCTGCCCTCCCCCTTGTCCCCTCCTCTGCAGCCCTCAGCGTGAGGCCCCGTGCACCTGCCGCAGACCCTCCACCCACTTCAATTTCTTCTCATCACACTTCCCTGAAATTCTTTGTCCTGTTTCTGTGCCTCTTCCCACCAGAAAGAAAGCTGCTCAGGGAAGGCCAGGTCCCTCCAGTCTCTCCCATTACACCTGGTGTCCGGCACGGTGGCCACACAGTCACCAGTGAACTGAGTGAGGCAGCCTGTGTCAAAGACGAGCACCTGCACGTGCTGCCCCGGGACAGCGGGGGACCCAGCTCTCCAGGAGGAGACGCCACAAAGAACAGGAAGCTCACTTGGCTTCCAGGTGAACGCAGGCCTGTCAGGACCACCCAGAAAGGTACAGCCATCCTCCAGAGAGGGGTCCCGGCCTGCAGACAGGGCAGGCCCACTGAGGCAGGAGCCTGGGCACAGAACTGAACACCACAGGCCCAGGGGCAAGCTGGCCATCACCGCAGCTCCCTGGGAGGGAGACACACTTAACGCTGCTGGCAGCTCTGTGGGGAGAGGGCAGGGAGGTGTGTGTCATTCAGCCTTCTGAGGGGCCCAGGATGACCTGCCCGTGCCCGTGCACGTGCACTGCAGGCCCATTTGGTGACAGAGCACAAGCAGCATGCATGCGTCACACACTGCACCCGGCCCACAGACAACACCTGCATCACACAGCCATGAGCCTGTGGGGCAGGGACAGAGAGCAAGCAGCCTGCTTGACCACGTAACCAGCGGGAGCTGGAGGCAGGGCAGGAATGCGGCCTGGCCCCTCCTGGGCTGGAGCAGGCTGGCAGGCTGCAGGTAGACTAGGGCTCCCCATCCAGTGCCTAGTGGTCCCATCGGGCTAAGGGATAAGCCCTCACTCTGGGAGAAGACCCTAGCCCCTCCTAGGACACCTGGCTGGGACAGAACAACATTGCAGCTGTGGCAACAGCACAGAGATAGTCGCCCAAGAAACGGCCAGACTCCTGTGCTGGTCTAAAGACCTGAGGACACCAACTGAGAACAACCCTCCCAAGGGTCCTCACCCCCCTCCTGCCTCACTGCCCCCCACCAGGCAGAGCGGCCGAGCAGCCTGGCCCGTGGGCCCCACCGTGGCTGGGTGGGCACAGTGGAGCGCTGGCTGTGAGGCCAACAGGCGCATGGGACAGCCCTGCTGCAGATGACAGCTGAGCATCGCTACCAACACCTTGGCATTTCTGTGCCTCCCTGAATGGAAAGAAGCTCAGGAATTTTGATTTTCAAGAATCAGGATACTCTTTTTCTTACATATGTATACAAGAATATACACTACATGTTTATACTGGCAGAAGAAACTTCCAGAGTGTGCACACCAAATTAACCATAGCGATCTCTGGAAACTGTCTGGGTAGACACAATGGAGAATTTCTGTAGAATGAACTGATCAAAAACCAACGGCCCCACACTGCAGTGTGCAGACAAGAGCAAACAGAAGAACGTGGTGTCTGTTCTGAGGCCTGTCACCCCGAGGCTGTGTCCTTTCCCAGGTTAAAGAAACCTGGGGAAACCTCACTGAGAGCAGCACGCCCAGGAGACAGTCCCCGGCACTCCAGCCTAGCCCGCTGGGACCTACCTGCCCATCAGAGTCGTAGCCCCAGTTAGCGGTGCCTGCCAGAGCCACAGCTCGGGTGTCCACGTCTCGGCGGGCAGCGCTCAGGACAAAGTGCCATGCCCTGCTGCTCCGGGGGCGTCTGGCCATGGTGGAGAGAATCTGGAAGAAAACAGGCTCTGAGCAAAAGAAGACATGCGGCACATCAGAATGTCCCCCAGCACCGCCCCCCAAATCCTCTGCCTGCGGCACGTCTCAGCTGCTCTGCAGACGGGCCTTGACCCCCCCCCACCCCCGGGCAGGGGCTTCCAGAGCCAGGGCTCCAGGACTGTTCTCGAGAGCCTGTACCTCACTCAAGTATCTGAGCACCTCAATAAAACCTAGGCAGATGATGTGGCATGCCATCCAGACATCCATAACTCTGGAATGTGACTGCTAGCCCATCTCTCTCCAGGTCCTCATAAACCTGGCTGCCCCGCCTGCGTGTCCCACAAGCATCTCCAACCTTGACTGGCTCCTCCTTAATTGTCCAGTCTGACAAATGGCTTCTTCAGCCTCCCAGGTCATGCCAGAACCACGGCAGCCATCCATCCACCCCTGACACACCCTTCCTCCTTCCTCAAGGCCTGATTGCCTGGCACACCCCACCGCACGCGAGTGTTTTCCTCGCTGCCGCGGGGCCACCATCTCCTGAACCACATGACTCACCTTCCACTTCACTGAGTACTGCCAAGTTCTCTTTTGAAACACAAACCTAAAACCCATTCAGGGCTTGTCATTGTTCTTGGAATAAAACGCAAAAGTCCGTAAACGCTGGTTCTCTGCTTGCTCATCACACCGCCTCCTCTTAGTTGCCAGCTGGCTCCTGCCTTTTGCCCCGAATGCCCCCCTGCACCTGCTCAAGGCGGGTGCCCCTCCGCCTCTGGCCCTCACCTTCCAGGTCCAACCCACGGTGACACGGTGGTCTCGGGCTATCTAATGCCTGGCTCTGCCAGGCTGAAATCCCAGTGAGGCGGGCACCGCTCCCACCTTAGGGCAGGCCGGGCCGCGGACCCTGAGCACCAGGTGAGCGCGCGCAGGTGCAGCTGTCCTGGGCTGGGACCGCCGCCGCGGGCGCACCGGTCCCTGCGCCCGGCCCGCGGCCACCGTCGGCTCCCAGCCCGGCTTAATGTCCGCTCGCCGCATCGCGCACACAGTAGGCGCCACGTGACGCTCGCCGAATGAATGGCCCGGCGCTGTCACCGCGCGAGCCGGCAGCCCGCGCCAGCCGAGGCCGAGGCTGTGCCGCACGGCGCTGCTCCCCGACCCGCGGCCCCGGGCCGGGCGGGCCGCCCGAGGCGACAGCGGCCGGGGAGCGGGCTCGGCCGTCCCTGTGTCCGCCCCGGAGGAACAAAGGCCGGGCGGGCCTCAAGGCGCCAGCGCCCGCCGCTCCGGCCCGGCCCGCAAGGTCAGCGCGCGGCCGCCCGAGCCCTCGGGGGCGGCAGGGCCACCTAGGCCAGGAGGCGCGGACCGCGGCCCCGCCGCCGCTCACCTGCAGCCGCGCCGCCGCCGCCGCGCTCCGCCGGGCCGGCCGTGACCTACTTTCCGCTCCGGAGCGGGACGTAAACAATCCCCGCCCCCCGCGCCGCATTGGCCCGGCTGCCAGGAGCGGGCGCGCCCGGCTCGCGGCTTCTGGCGGGGGGCGGGTCTCCGGCCTAACTGGCCACAGCCAAGAAGTTGCAGGACCTGCCAATCCTGACCCCACGTTACCATTGGTCACATCTCGAGCCGACGGAGAGGAAGCTCGCGCGTCCATTGGAGGCGGGGCGCGGACGGGAGGCGGTCCCACTAGCGAGCGTGGCGCGGAAGTATGTCGCCCTCCGTTTCGTCGGAGCCGGTTCCGGCGCGCCGGGCTGAGGAACTCCTCCGACGATCTGATTGGCTGAGGGTAGCGGGACTAGTCCTATCAAGATGACCCGGGGGCGGGCTCACACTGCCCATTGGCTTGAAGGTCTCACGGTCCGCAGGCGGAAGCCGACGGAAGCCGCGAATTCCAGCCGGCGGCGGGATGGAGGCGGCGGCGGGTGAGTACGGACTGGCACCGCGGCAGTCGGGTGGCGTCCTCGCGGCCTGGGATCTCGCCACGCTTTGCCTTTCCCTAGGAGGCCGCACCACGCCGCTCCAGTGCGCCGGTCCCAGGCCGGAGCCGGGCGCAGGACCCCGAAGGGCCGCACTCCCGGGTCCGTGGGGGCAGCAGCGGGGCCGGACCCACCGCGGCCACTTTCTTTAAGCTTCGCTGTTTGCGGGGGGAAGGTTGCGTTGGCAGGTTGCGTTGGCGGCGCGTCCGCCTGCCCTAAGCTACAGGTGTGCGTCGCACCTGCAGCGAGGCCGACGCGCGCTCACGGGCAGGTGGTGTTTCTGCAGGTGTGTGGAGAGTGCGCGCAAAGGTGTTTTGTCTGGTTTTTAAATGCAGCTATTTCCTTGTCTCATGCTACGGGTTTTTGACTTGGTAGCCTGGCAACGCTGCCTTACTTAAAGTTTGGGTAAGATTAAAAAGAATTCTTGTTCAAATATAGTGTTCTGAAAGGAAACAAATACCAGAATGTTATGTGTTTTTAGTTTTTTGTGGGAGTGATGTTGTATCTAAGCCTTAAAAAAGTGAAATTCTGGTGTGGGCCAGAATACATACAAGTAGGTGTATCAGTGTTTGCACAGATTAGCCGATGTAAGCCTTTGTAAGTAGTGGTTGGTACAATTATCTTCTTTTTTTGTTTTTTTTTTTTGTTTTTTGGAGACAGTCTTGCTATGTAATCCCGACTAGAGAGCCATGGTGTCAGCCTAGCTTACAGCAACCTCAAACTCCTGGGCTCAAGTCATCCTCCTGCTTCAGCCTCCAGAGTAGCTGGGACTATAGGTGTGAGACACTGTGCTAGCTCAGAAGCTTCCTTTAAACGAGGGAAAAAAGTACACATAAAGATTCAAAAAGCACACATAAAGATTCAAAAAGCCTAAAAGGGCATATGGTAAAAAAAAAAAAAAAAAAATCTGACCTCCCTGTGCCCACAGGCAACCCCTGGCCTAGCACATATTTTCCTGGATAGAGCTGGAACCCATTCTACTAAGTGAAGTATCTCAAGAATGGAAAAACCAGCACCACATGTACTCACCAGCAAATTGGTATTAATAGATCAACACCTAAGTGGACATATAAGAGTACCATTTATCGGGTGTTGGGAGGGTGGGAGGGGGGAGGAGGGGATGGGTGTATACAACCACAACGAGTAAACTGTGCAACGTTTGGGGGATGGACACGCTTGAAGCTCTTACTTGAGGGTGGAGGGGGGCATGGGCAATATATGTAACCTTAACACTCGTACCCTCATAATACGCTAAAATAAAAAAAAAGGAAAAACGAATGAATGATCAAAATACAGAATATAGCCGGGCGCAGTGGCTCACGCCTGTAATCCTAGCTCTCTGGGAGGCCGAAGCGGGCGGATTGCTCAAGGTCAGGAGTTCAAAATACAGAATATGCATCTGCAGGAAAAAAATATCTGGAGAAATAGACAGTCATCTGGTGAAACACAGACATTTCTCAAAGATGGGATTTGCACTCTGCATGCTAACCATTTGCATTTTTATAAGGGACACAGGTCATTCTTGTTACCAGGAGATATCTTAATTAAATAAAGAAGAAAGGACCCTATGTGCTAGGCCCGTAGTGAACGTGCTTCACTTACAATCTGCTTATAAACTTTTCCACCTTGCTTAGCAGTGGAGGGTTCTTCAGGTGTTTTCCTCAGAGTTGTGTAGAAAGGACCTGCTCCTCCCAGTTACCTGGCACCTCATCCTGTGTGGTGCTCCACACCAGCCCAGCAGGCAGGTGACATTCCCCGCTTGTGCTGAGGAAAGCCAGTCTCCCTGGGATTCAGAGCTTTGTCGCATGGCACCAGTCCCAGCGGCAGAGCGAGTCAGCACCCAGACCCGCTCTGTCCACCAGAGGCCCCAACAGAGTGCCCCCAGCAGCAGCGGAGGTGAGCTCAAACCGTCCGTTCGTGTTACTTCCTGCACCTGTTGGCGGTTAAGTGATTTAAGTAATGACCCGCTCACTGTTACAGGGGTGACTGCAAGGCCGTGGTCTCTGGGCTTTATGCTCGTACACGAGGAAGGGGTGCCTTTTCTGTGTCGCCGTAAAAAGAGTCAGGGCAGGTGCTTTAACGCGTTTGTGGCAAGGACCTGCCTGAAAGCTGGGCCAGGTTCCCTCTCAGTTCCCGAGTGCTTCCTGGGAGCCTTTGGATTTGGGAGCCTTGGAACCTGCCCTTGAGGTGGATCAGCAGCAGGGGCAGTATCTATGGGTCATTTGTTGATCCCCTCACAGCCCCCCTTCCGAGGTCCTCTCCAGAGGTGGTAGAGAGAGCAGCCCGTTGCAGACGGGGGCAGGAGCTTGCGGAGGGGCAAGATGGCAGCCCCTGCGTGTGGCAGGGTCAGGACAGCGAGCACTCGCTTGGCATCCCCTGCAGACTGCTGGAAGGGAGAGGAGCTGGCCCAGAGGGGTCAGCGGGGACCCAGAGTGGGGACTGGGGCCTGTGTGGGGAGTGGTCAAGGACACGGTTGTGTCCTATGGCAGCTCTTGTTTGCTAAGGTTTCTTAAGAACCCTTGTAGTGGCCAGGAGCATGGCTGTGGGCCAGCGAGGACTGTGGCCTTGGTGGGTCCTCAGTCAGTGTCCTCCCGGGAACTGGAGGCCCGGGGCCAGCGCCACCTCTGACCCCAGGAGAGTGGTGTGGGGGAGGGCTGGGTCTCCTTCGGCACAGAGTTGCTGTGGTCCTGTCAGCAGGTCCGGTTTGTCTCACCTGTTTTCCCTTAGAGCCGAGCCGGTGCCGGGACCGGGTTGTGTTGCCCGCGGCTGGGAGCCGTGCACATGCTACGCAGGTGTGCACACGTGTGCGCACGTGTGCGCATGCGCTGTAAGGAGCAGGCTGGGGGCTCTGCCCTCACCAGTGCAGGGCTCAGGGGTGAAGGAAGCCCTGTGATGGGGCTGCAGGGAGACCTCCCACTTATGCCAGGGGAAGGGATGGGGGGCCACATTTGGGTCTGGTTGTGAGCCTGGCCAGGGCTCCCGGCGCCAAGTGGGCTGAGAGCCACTCAGGGTCCCAGCCGTCTGTCCCATATCCCTGACCAGAGCCTGGAAACCTGGCTGGCGTCCAGCACATCATCCTCGTCCTCTCGGGAAAGGGAGGCGTTGGAAAGAGCACCATCTCCACGGAGCTGGCCCTGGCCCTGCGCCAGGCAGGCAAGAAGGTGAGAGCCCGCCCCTCGGGCTGCCCCTGCTCAGGGAGGGTGGGCGGAGACCAGGCACGTGCCCTCCATCCCCTTGCAGGTGGGGATCCTGGACGTGGACCTGTGCGGCCCCAGCATCCCCCGCATGCTGCGGGCGCAGGGCAAGGCCGTGCACCAGTGCGACGGCGGCTGGGTGCCCGTGTTCGTGGACCGGGAGCAGAGCATCTCCCTCATGTCTGTGGGCTTCCTGCTGGAGCAGCCGGACGAGGCCGTGGTGTGGAGAGGCCCCAAGAAGAACGGTAATGATGGGGGGTGGCCGGCACCCCATCTCAGCTGACCCCCCAGTGCTCAGAGGCCTATGGAGGAAGCCAGGCATGGTGGCGCATGCCTGTGGTACTAGCTACTCAGGAGGCTGAGCTAGGAAGATTGCCGGAGCCAGGAGTTTGAGGCTGCTGTGGGCTGTGATGACCCCACGGCACTCAGCCTGGGCAACAGAGTGAGACTCTGTCTCAAGATTTTTTTAAAAAAAACCTTGGAGGAAGCCCAGGGCTGCTGTTCCTCCTCCTACAGGGCCGCTGCCCCTGGTAAAGTGGGAAGGTGTCCCTCTGGCCTCTCAGTGGCATCCCGGACGGTGGACGGGGGGCTCCAGCAGGGTGTGAGATAAGCCTGTGCGCAGGCAGATCTCGTCTAGTCAGCGTCACTGAGACCGTCGGCCATGGCATCCAGTCTCCTGGGTAGGAGGGGCAGGGTCTGCTCAGACAGGGACCTGAGGACCCCAGTGCTGGGGGACTCTGGAGCAGCAGGTAGCATTAGAGCCCCCCAGCTGCAGCGAGGGCTGCCACGGGGGAGAAGCGAGCTCAGAGCAGACAGCTGCTTCTGTGACACGCCGGCCGGGCTGCCTCCTCTGGGCGTGAGAACCGGGTATGCCTGTGGGCACTGACACCCCAGGCAGGTCAGGGCTCCCCCTCCTGAGCTAAGGTCCAGGCAGTACCAACCACCGGTCCTGTGGGTGTGTGAGGCGGGTCAGGGACAGGTTTGCCCCCCTACGGCCTCCCGCCATCCCTGCTCCTGGCCAGGGCCGCCACTGAGCCAGCGCCCGCCCTGCTGCGGGTGGTCCCAGGGCCTTCCAGGAGTCTCCAAGGGGGCCAGTGGGGGACTCGCTGGGCTGGGACCCCACCTGCTTGACTCGAGGGCACTGGGCTGCGTGCGTGGCACAGACCCGCTCCACCCCTCGCCCCCCCCCAGCGCTGATCAAGCAGTTTGTGTCTGACGTGGCCTGGGGGCAGTTAGACTACTTGGTCGTGGACACACCCCCAGGGACCTCCGACGAACACATGGCCGCTGTGGAAGCCCTGCGTCCCTACAGGCCCCTGGGGGCCCTCGTGGTCACCACGCCTCAGGTACTGTTGGCAGCGCCGTCCCGTCCCCAACGTGTGGCCTTTCCCCATGGCAGGGCCGGGCTGGTGCCTGCCCATCCTGGCTGAGTTACAGGCAACTGGCCGGCTCTGTCTCGACTCCAGGCGGTGTCTGTGGGGGACGTGAGGCGGGAGCTGACCTTCTGCAGGAAGACGGGCTTGCGGGTCTTGGGGGTCGTGGAGAACATGAGCGGCTTCACCTGCCCGCACTGTGCAGTGAGTCGTGGGGACTTGTCGGGTGGGGCAGGCGGGTCGGGGCACGAGGCCAGGGGGAGCCGGCGTCAGCCCCAGGGCGGTTGGTGACTGGTGAAGGCCGAGGGCCAGCTCCCTGGACCTGCGTGAGTGCGGAGGCGTCCTCCAGCCCGGCACTCACAGCCCTGTCTCCTAGGAGTGCACCAGCGTCTTCTCCAGGGGCGGCGGGGAGGAGCTGGCCAGGCTCGCCGGCGTCCCCTTCTTAGGTGAGTGACAGAGCCTGGGTGTCTGGGGCCCTGATGGCTGCTCTGGGTGGGTCTGACTCGCCTGCGCCCACCGAGTGCCCAGCAGGAGCCGCTTCCTCCCGCCTTGGTCGCACGCTGGCAGGCGCCGGCCGTGCGCTGCGGCTCGTCTCTGGGCAGTCGCTGCCCAGCAGGCACCTGGGTTCCGAGCAGGCGCCGCATGGTAGACACGCCTGCAGTGCCCCAGGTGGGTAGAGTTCGGTGGCTGCTGTCCCCCCAGCTGTCGTGCTAGGAGCCAGCTGCCGAGGGTGCCCAGTGCTGGCGCCCACCCGTGCTTGTCCTCGCCTGCGTGGCCAGGAAGGCAGCGGGGCTCAGCCTGCGGGGGTGCCCAGTGGGTGCCACCGCCTCTTCCTCGGCCTCCCCTCTGTCCTCACAGGCTCGGTGCCCCTGGACCCTGCGCTCACCAGGAGCCTCGAGGAGGGCCGAGACTTCATCCAGGAGTTCCCCGGGAGCCCTGCGTTTCCTGCACTCGCTGCCATAGCCCAGAAGATTCTGGACGCGATGCCTGCTCAGGCCTCCTGACTGAGGAGCCGCCTCCTCGAGGGCCCCGAGAGGAGTCCCCGCGGCAAAGGGCCCGGGACGATGTTTCCTCCGTGACTGCAGCGGCTCCTCCGCGGTCCGCGGCTGCAAGGACAGTGCTCCCTGGTGCCCTGAGACTGTTCTGAACACCTGAGCCGGTGTTCTGGGACTCCACCCACGGCTGCTTCCCAGCACTCGTCCCTTCCCGTGCTGCATCCCTGCCCCAGAGGGACAGGCTGCTCTTGGCAGCCGAGCGTCCCCCGCCCCGGTCACCAAGCTCTCAGGACTCCCATGGCCCTCAGTGGACCCTGGGCTGCCCATACCCTGAGAGTCCGTGAGCGACCTGCACTCGCGGGAGGAGCGGGGAGCGTCCTTGAGGTGACAAAGTGACCTCAGACGTGTCGCGTGCCTTGGAGGAGCCCACCATTAAACGTGCCCTGGCCACTGCCACGGCACCAGTCAGCCTCTTCTGGACTCTCTGTCCTTGCGCTCAGACAGCACGCACTTCTGCAGGTCCTGCTGCCGACATGCCCCTGGAGGCCCAGGTGAGGCATCCGCTTCCCGTGTGGAGGGAGTTCGGGGAGATTTTATATCAGAAAGCTGCGTGGGGGCTCGGCCATGGTGGAACTGCCCACTCCTCGGGGGACGGGGACACCCAGGGACTGAGAAGAGGTGGCTCTGAGAGTGAGCTGGGCGTCCTGGGGGCTCTTTTTCCTGGTGAGACCAGGAAGGGAAGCAAGTGGGAAGCAGAGCGGCCGCGTGGGGGCCGTTCTCTCCAGGGATGAGCTCGGCCCTTCGGGAAGGGCATGGGTGGGGCCCAGGAGAGCAGCTCGGAGGCGATTCATGGGGCCAGGTGGGACGGCCGTGGGGACGCGCCCGAGTCTGCAGGTGCCATTTCCCTGAGGGAAGGTGTGGGAACTGCAGTGTGCACCGGCCACCTCTGCCGCCACGGCTGGCTCGCTGCCCCTGCTCTCCTGCTCACTCTCAGGAGCGGCCACAGGGCCCTGGCCACCACCAGCCCTGTGTTCTGGCTACCGGGACACGGCACTGCCAGTCCCCAGGACGACACCCCAAAGAGGAGAGACGAGGTGCTAAGGTTCTGGGAGGACCTGAGGAAGTGCCGTCCTTCCTCAGGTGGGGTGGGCGTCCTGGGAGGAGTCTGGGGGCAACCTAGAGGACCAGGACACACTGGCTGCAGGATTGAGGCCGCCTTGCAGGGCCCAGGGCAAATGCTCCAGGCCACACGCTGTGTTCATTGTGTTGTCTTCCTTTAATTGGTGACGGGGGGCTGCCATGCCTGCCCATCCCTACCCTGTCAGGCTGGCACAGCCCGGGACCGTCCTTCACAGTTCCTCGTTCTGAGGACAGTGAGGACCTGTCCTGACCCCAGGGCAGTGTGTGGCCGGGGCGGACCAGGCAGGGGACCACAGCCGGGAGCCCCTGGGGTCAGCAGTGAGCAAAGTGGGCCTCACTGACGTCCCGCAGGTCGAGGCCGGCGAGGCCGGGGGGGCTGGCACAGGTGATGTTGTTGTAGGTGTACACGGGGGGCTGGCAGTCGTCCCCCTCGGGGGCCGCCCGGACGAAGCGGGGCACGGCGCTGGGGTTCTGCAGGGCAAAGTCCCGCAGCGCCTTGAGGGGGCAGCCGCAGTCCCAGGGGTTGCCCTCGAGCCACAGGCGCTCCAGGCCCGCAGGCTGTGGCACGAAGGACTGCAGCGAGTTGTTCCCGAGGCTGAGGTAGCGCAGCCGCCCCAGCGGCGAGAAGAGGCCCTCGGGCACCGCGTCCAGGCGGTTGTGCGAGACGTCCAGCCAGAAGGCCCGCTGCAGGGGGCCCAGCGCCTCCGCGGACAGCTCCGACAGCCGGTTGCGGGAGAGGAGCAGGAACTCCAGCTTGCCGAGGCCCTGGAAGAGCCGGCGGGGCAGCTGCGTGAGCTGGTTGGAGGTGAGGTCCAGCTCCAGGAGCTCGGCCAGGCCCCACAGGCTCTGCTCCTCGATGTCAGAGATGCCGTTGCCCCTGAGGAACAGCCTGCGCAGCCCCGAGAGGCCGGCGAAGGTGTGCTGGCGGATGCGGCCCAGGCAGCTGCTCTCCAGGTGCAGGCTGTGCAGCTTGCCCAGGCCCTGGAACACCTGCTCCGGGAGGTTCCGGAGACAGTTGCCAGAGAGGTTCATGACCGCCACGTTGAGGAGGCCGAGGAAGGCGCCCGCCTTGACGTCCTGGATCTGGTTGTCGTTGAGCGTGAGCACCTCCAGCTGCCCCAGGCCCTCGAACGCCCGCTCGGGCAGCTGCCGCAGGCGGTTGTGGCCCAGCTGCAGCTCCTCCAGGAAGTGCAGGTCCTTGAAGGTGCGGGGCCGCAGGCCGGCGAGCGCGTTGTGGGACAGGCGCAGCACGTGCAGGCCCAGCAGGCCTGGGAACGTGTCCTCCAGCAGCCCGGCCACGCGGTTGTGGGACAGGTCCAGCCAGCGCAGCGCCTTCATGCCCAGGAAGGCGCCCGGGGCCACAGCGGAGATGAGGTTGCGGGCCAGGTAGAGCTTCTGCAGCCGGGGCAGCCGCGTGAAGACGTTGGCCTTGATGCTCCGCAGCGCGTTCCTGCTCAGGTCGAGCTCGCGCAGCTCGCCCAGGCCGCAGAAGAGCGCCGGCTGCAGGTAGGCCAGCCTGTTGCCGGCCAGCACCAGCTCGCGGAGGTTGCCCAGGCCCTGGAACGCCGTGTCAGGAAGCACGGCCAGGCTGTTCCAGCCGAGGTTGAGGTCCCAGAGGCTGGCGAGCCCTGTGAAGAGGCCCTCCTCCAGCCTGCCCAGGAGGTTGTTGCTGAGGCTGAGCGAGGCCAGGCCGGGCGTGTGCGCGAACGTGCGGGCCGCGAGGCTGCGCAGCCGGTTGCGCTCCAGGTGCAGGTGGTAGAGGCTGCGCAGCCCCAGCAGCGCCTGCGGCTCCAGGCTGCCCAGCTGGCTGCCCTGCAGGTTAAGGAAGTCCAGGCTGGAGAGATTCTGGAAGGCCGCCGCGGGGATGGAGGAGAGGTTGTTGCCGTCGAGCCACAGCGCCCTGGCGCTGGTGGGGATGCCGCCGGGCAGCTGTGTGAGGTTCCTCGAGCTGCAGAAGACGCTGAGCTCGTCCGAGTAGTCGTCGTGGCTGCAGGTGCAGACGGCCGGGCACTGGTGGCCCAGCGCCGCCCCGCACGCCAGCAGCAGCGCCAGGGCCAGGCCTCCTGCGGGGGGAGAGGGCTGAGGAGGCGGCACCGGAGGGTTCTGGCGGGGTGCCCTGGTCTGCCTGGGGTGAGCGCGACACCACACCTCCCCAGGCCTGAGCCACAGAAGAGGCGGCTCGGCCACGAACCGAGGCACACGGCCACCCAGAGTCGCGTCCTCTGCTCCCGCGCTGACTCTGCACTTCCCACCGTGGGACCCACGGGTGGCGTCCCTGTCTCGCTGCAGAGAAGACGTGGTTCGGCTGTGCCCGGCCCACGCGGGCTTGGGCAGGCTGGCCCTGGCTGCTCGGCCGTGCGGCCATCTGCACCCCCACGGCAGACGGCCAGGCCAGGCTGCTGCGGTGGTCCAGAGAAAGGGGAAGGAGCTGAGCCGTCAGCCGAGCTCTGACCGTTTTTGGAATATTCTAGAACAGGTCTGGGTAGGGTATTCGCTGGTTGCCCCTGGTGAGCCAGGTACCCCCTCCCTGCCTGTCCAGCCCCACATGCTGGGGTGCTCGTCCGCCTGCTCCCCAGCGCATATGGCCTGGCCCAGGCCTTGGGGCAGACCCCAGTGGTCCACTTACTTACCCGGGGTCAGGTTGCATCTTGGGACAAGGACCACCGGGCCCCACTGACCCAGCAGCAGTCTCGCCAGTAGCAACGTCCCAAAACTTTGCCTGCGGGACACCGTGCCACCCGCCACATAGCCCCGTCCCCGCCCCAGAGAGCTCAGGATCCTAGGGTGGGGCAGGGCAGCATGGGGGGCTGTGATGGGGTGGGGCAGCCTGGAGTTCAGCCCAGGCTTGAGACCAGGGCACCCCACAGATGAGGGGTGTGAGGCGCCATCCGCCGCCCACCGGGGCTGGGCCCTGAGAGAGGACCTAGTGGCTGGAGGGCAGTGGGCCCACAGCTCGGCCGTGAGGGGCACCCAGTCACTCCAGGGGCTGAGACCTCGCCAGCCCCTGCCTGCGCTGCCCGCCAAGCTCTTAGGACGGAAGGAAAGGTGGGAGAAGGGAATGGAGACCCTCTGCTGTGCGGCCCAGCCAGGTCTCCCTTCTACCCCAGCAGTCCCCAGAGTCCCCTAGACCCCCAGAGCTTCCCTGAGGCTGTCCCTGGCCCCACCAGGCTCGGTGACATGGCTGGCTACCCCCAGGTAAGTGGCAGGAAGCTCTGGGGCGCCTCACCTTTCCTCAGGGCCATTCTGCGTGCAGACCGGGCTGCAGGCTGCAGGGAGCGAGGGCGTCTGCTGTGCCGGCCACGGGGCAGCCAGTGCCTGTCAGCCGCAGGCCCGGCCCAGCTGGCCCCAGCCCCGTTAACCCCCTCGTGCCGGGTGGCAGCACCAGTGCAGACGGTGCGGGCGAGAGTCCATCTGAAGCCGCCCAAGGCGGCCAGTCCCCGTTTCCCTGCAGAGCTGGCTGGGGTGGGCTGGGCAGCCAGGGGCGGGTGGGAGGCCCCCTGGGAGTGGGCTGGCGCTCGAGGCAGGTCTCGGGAGCCCAGGGCTTCGCCTGTTCCCACCCGTGGGCAGGGACCCCTCAGGTGGCTCTGAGGTCTTGGGCGCCCCTGGCCTGAGCCGTTACCCTGGGCTCTGCGGGCGCCACCACCTGTCCCTGTGTGCCTCCTGCGTGCTGCCCACCACTCTCCCCGAGGGGTCCACCCTTCGGCTGTCCAGGGCCCGGGCCCGCCTCAGCCTCCTGTGACCTCAGGTCAGCTGGTGTCTGGCCACTGCCCCACCCCCAAGCCTCTTCTAGGAACACCTGGCAGGAACGAGGCAGGCGCCCGTGTTTGCTTTCCCAGCGCCGTCTTCGGGGCAGGGAAGAAGGCTGCTCCTGCAGGAGAGGTCAGCCCTCCCCGCCTGCGCGCTGGCCCTCCTTGTCCTGCTCAAGCCCTGTCTCCGGCTGGTCACTGCCTCCTTCTGGGCCTGAGCAGGTGGGACCTGGCCATTGTCCTGCCTGCCTGTCCCCTGCATGTCCCCGGAGGACCCCTCTCTGGCTGTCGGCTCCTCCCCACCCCCGCTCTGCCTGGGGAGTGGGGTCGTGTGTGCACGGGAGGAGCTGGAAGAGGCGCGTGTGGGCGCAGACCAGGTGGGTGGGGCGGTGACCCACACCCGTCTCTCCAGGGTGCCTGTCCTGTGGGCAGGGCCCCACGCCGGTGCTGGGGACAGGCTTCTTCCCTTTGTTGGGAATCGATCGTTTCCCAGGTCGTTTCTCGGCTTCTCTTCTGAGAAATTATAGATCCGCAGGGAGAAAGTCCACACCCAGAAAGATCCACAGGTGAGTTTACACAGGGGAAAGTGCAGACTCAGCAGGGGCCCCGGGGCCAGCCGGGCGGCCTTTTCCCAGGAAAAGTCCCCGAGTGGGGCTGAGGCTGGAGCCGGGAGCCCCTCGCTGTGTGTGGGGGGGTGACATTACTGTCCTTTCACTTTGGGAGGAGGGACAGGACTCTGTGTGTTAGGGAAGCCCTAACAGGATTTTGGCAGCCGGGTTATATATTTTTAAACCTCTCGAATCCCGGGAGGACGCAGAGGAACGCGCACGCAGGCGTCCAGCCACGGGTTCCGCGGAGAACACCCCCATTGCCGCCGTGCCAGCTGCAGGCTGGCCGCTCCTGGTGTGTGTCTGGTGTAACCGTCTAAGCATCTCCCCGAGGAGTCTAGATCCGCCTCCTTTGAACCCTCACGGCAACAGTGGCTGCATCTGCCCGCGGTACAGCCGTGTGGCGGCCGCACGCCCGTGCGTTCACGCTGCTGCTGCTCCGGCTCAGCGTCCCCCGGGCACGCGCATTTCTGCCAGAGCAGGACTGGGTGGGGGCGCGGGCACCTCGCAGGGCGAGGCCACCGCTCCCCAGGAGTCAGGCAGACCTCGCTCTCCCCTCACCGTCTCCGCTCACGCTCGCTCGCGCGGCCAAAGGGTGGCGGCTTTTGTTCTGTGTTTCCTCAGTTGCTGGTGGAGACAGCATTTTTCAGAGGCTCCTTGGCCATTGGGTGCTCCTGTTTCAACGAATGCGTGTTTTAAGTTTCCTGCCAGTTTTCTTTTTCTATATATATTAGTTGGCCAATTAATTTCTTTCTATTTATAGTAGAGATGGAGTCTCACTCTTGCTCAGGCTGGTTTTGAACTCCTGACCTCAAGCAATCCACCCGCCTCGGCCTCCCAGAGTGCTGGGATTACAGGCCTGAGCCACCTCGCCCGGCTCTTTTTCTTCTAATATTTCCTATAGACAGGGTCTCACTATGTTGCCCAGGCTGGTCTCAAACTCCTGAGCTCAAGCGATCCACCTGCCTCAGCCTCCCAGAGTGCTGGGATTACAGGTGTGAGCCGCCATGCCCGACCTAGATTTTCTTTGAAACGTGGTCTCGCTCTGTCGTCGCCCAGCTAGAGTGCAGTGGTGTCATCGTAGCTCCCTGCAGCCTCCAACTCCTGGGCTCAAGAGATCCTCCCACCTCAGCCTTGCGATCCTGCATAGCCTGGACTGTAGGTGCCGCCACGCCCGGCTCTTGTGCTGATTTGCTATCAGGTTGTCTGTTAGTCTGGCTTACAAGATATTTAAAAAAAAAAAATTCTAGCTGCCAGCCCCTCGTCAAATACACGTCACTGGTATTTTGTCTTGCACCGGAGTGGCCTTTTCATCCTCATTGTGACTCTGGCGAGAGTTCTTAATTCAGGCTTGGGAAGAGGTCCCTTAAATGTTACCTGTTGAACTTGATTCTTCAAATATAATAGTAACGATGGAAAAAATGCCAGAATCTCTTATGTAGTCCCACTTATGGTTTCAAGTCCTACTGGCACACGGACTTGAGTATATTCTCCTAAAATAGCTTGTGAACCGTGCGTTGTTCTGTCGTGTGGTGTCTGCTGTGCAGCTTCTGCTCTGCTCTCCGTGAGATTAGGGCTCACACACACGAGCTCGAGTCTGTCTCTCTGTGCGGACCCCAGTGGCCGCAGCATGGCGAGTGAGATGGCTGTCCCCGCGGCCCGGTCGGCGCTCTCCTCCTCCCACCGTCTGCCTGGCTGCTGCCCACCGTCCCGTCCGGTAAAGCAGGCCCCGCCCCCGCCCCCTTCAGGAGCATTGTGGGTATTCCTGGTCCTTTGCATTTTTGTGTGAACTTTGGAAACAGCCCATCGAGTTTCTAAAACAAAACCAAAAACCTGTTGAATTCGGATTTGTGCTGCATTTGTGGAGAATTGAGGCCTTCGAGTCTTTCCACCCCATGGACGTGCCGTTTCCTCCTCTCTTCTGCATCTTCCTTAACTTCTCCCAGGAGTGGGTCTGAGATTTCTGTGTCGTGATCCTGCATCCTTTGCTAGATTTTTTCTTACACGGTGGCTATTTTTGATACTGTTACACACATGTCATCTTTTTTGTTCCTCAGTTTCATTTGGGGTTTTTTTCCTTTTCCTTTTTTTATTTTTTCCAGCATATTATGGGGGTACAAATGTTAAAGTTACGTATATTTCCCTTGCCCTCCACCCCCCTCCAGTCAGCTTCAAGCGTGTCCATCCCCCAGTTGGTGCGCATCTCACTCATTATGTATATACCTCTCCCCTCCCCCTCCCAGGCACCCAATAAATGTTATTGCTATATGTCCACTTATGTGTTGATCAGTTAATACCAGTTTGCTGGTGAGTACATGTGGTGCTTATTTTTCCATTCTTAGGATACATTACTTAATAGAATGGGTTCCAGGTCTATCCAGGAATATACAAGAGGTGCTATACCACCATTGTTTCGTATAGCTGAATAGTACTCCATGGTATATATACACCACATTTTATTAATCCACTCATGTATTGATGCCCGGGCACTTGGGTTGTTTCCACATCTTTGCAGTTGTGAATTGTGCTGTTATGAACATTCAAGTGCAGGTGTCTTTTTCAGAGAGTGACTTTCGTTCTTTTGGGTAGATGCCCAGTAATGAGATTGCTGGATCAAATGGTAGATCCACTTATATCGCTTTAAGGTATCTCCATATTGCTTTCCACAGAGGCTGAACTAGTTTGCAGTCCCACCATTTGGGGTTTGTTGAGGCTGAAATTCTCTACAGTTCTTTCTCTAAGATGGCTTTACTGACGTAGAACTTGCGTGGCAGTGGGTCAGGTGTGCGGAGCTATGCGGCCTCCCCCCACAGTCCGGCTTTCTGACGCTTCCACGCAAGACGTGCTCGTTTGTGTCGCCCCTTTCGTGGAGCGTCTGGTTTTCAAGGTTTGTCTAGTTGTGTCGTGGATCAGCGCTTCCTGCCTCGTGGCTGACTCGGATTGTTCTATGGAGAGACTGCAGTTTATTCATTCACCAGCCGACTTGAATTGTTTCCATTTGGGAACTATTACATATAACGCTACTGTATCCATTTGTGTAAACATTTTTAGAAAGTATGTTTCACCTTGCTGGGGTAGATTCTTAGAAGTAGAATTGCCAGTTCACCTAATATTGTATCCTTTTTGAAAACTGTTTTCCAAAATGATTACATCACTTTAAAAGTGTGAGAGTTTCAGTTGGCCCACATCCTCACCAAAACTTGGTAGGGTCAGGTTTTTTTCAAGGTATTCTAATTACAGTTTGTTTTTCACTAATAACTAGTGATGTCAGACACCTTTTCATGTGTTCACTGGCCATTCTGCTGTTTTCTTTGGTGAAATAGTCTAAGTCTTCTGCTAATTTTTTAAGTGGGTTGTTTATATTCTTGAATTGTAAGACTTTCTAGTATGGAATACTGGATAAAAGATTTGCAAATATTTTTCCCAATCTGTGGCTCTTTTTTAAAAATGTTTTTTAAAGTGCAAAACTTTTTCATTTTAATGAAATCCAGTTTATGTATTTTTCTCTTTTGTGGCTCATAACCTTGGTGTGCTACCTAAGAATTCTTTGCCTGACCCAAAATCACAGAGATTGTCTCTTTGTCAAGTTTGGTAGCCTCAGCTCTCACATTTAGGTCAGTGATCCATTTTGGGTGAATTTCTGTGTGCAGTGTGAGGGGAGGGTCTAAGTCTTGTTGAAAAGACTGTCATTTCCCCAACTGCAGTGTCTTGGCATCTTTGTTGAAAAATCAATTGACTATAAATACAAGGATTGATTCTGGACTCTCAGTTGTGTCCCACTGAGCCACATGCTTGTCCTCACACTATCACAGTTGACTGCTGTGGCTTCATGGTGCATTTTGAAATCAGGCAGCCTGAGTCCTCCAACTGTGTCCTTTTCAATATTGTTTAGCCTCTTCTGGGTTCTTTGTATTTCCATATGCATTTAGAATTCACTTGTCACTTTCTCCAAAAAAGCCTGCTGGGATTTTAATAGTTAACAATAGTTTTCTAATCGGTGAACATTTAGGTTTTTCTATCATTTCTGTTAGCAGTTTTCAGTGTATAAATCTTCAATTTCCTTGTTAAAGTAGTTCGTGAGTATTTCATTACTTTGGATGCCACTGTGAATGGAATCTCACTCTCGCTTTTGGGTTGTGATTAGCACGCAGAAACACAGTGAATTTGCCTTTACTAATCTCATATCCCCAGACCGTGCTAAACTTACCAGTGCCAGTTGTGTGCCTGTACCCCCAGGACTTGCCGTGCACAGGGCCACGTCACTCGTGCACAAGGACATTTCTGCTTTGTCCTTTCCAGCATGTGCACTGCTTGGTGTCTTGCCGCGCCCAGCATGGTGCCGAGTGGCAGCCTCGCCTCGTCCCGGATTTAGCGGCCAACACTGTCACGCACCATTAGCTGTGGCGCTGCGTGTTTCACTGGTGCCGTGGGTGACAGAATGCCGCCGCCCACTGCAGCTGCCCACGCTGACGCCGGGCCCGGGGGGCAGGTCAGGTCACACGGCAGAGCTAAGGCTGCGACTGGCTGACCCCGGTGTGGTTAGAGGGTCCTTGAAAGTGGACACGGGAGTTAGATGATGTTGGCATGGCAACGTGAGGACCCAACCAGCTGCCGCTGGCCGTGCGCCAGTGGTCCCAGCGGCCTCTGCAGGGAGCCGCGCTGCACACGCTTGGATCCCGCCCCTGCGAGACTCACGGCCGGCTTGCGGCCTCCAAGAGTGTAAGGTAACCCTGTGTTGTTTTAAATCACTAAGGTTGTGATCTGTTACAGCACCAGTCAGAACCTGACACGGATGGCCTTTGTCCGGCGGAGAGAGCTCCCTTCTCTTAACAATTCGAGATGTTTTCTCGTCAACAGGTGTTTGTCAGATGCTTTCCTGCCTCTACTGAGACGACCGTGTGAGTGTCTCCTTTATGAACGTGGCCTGTTACGTTAGCTGGTGTTCCGATGTTCAGCCAGCCTCACCTTCCTGTGACGGAGCTCACTGGGTCCCAGTGTGCCGCGGGGGTTTGTGTGGTGGCGTGCCCTGGCCTCGCCTCGCCTGGTAAGCTGAGTTGCCGCAGTCCGTGCTGCTGTGACGGGACAGAGGTCTGTGTGGCTTGTGGCTCTGCATGTCGCACAGGCAGCAGGCACCGGCATCGCGGCTCCCGAGAGGGCCTGAGGCCGCTGACACACACAGCACACGCTGCCACACGGCAGCCCACGGAGCAGGAGCTCGCTCGAGCCGGGACAGCTCCAAACCCCTCGTGGGGGACGCACCCATGACGTGAACGCCCCCAACACGAGGTTGCTGGGTCGCACAGGCCCAGCCACGGCAGGAGCGTCCCCCTTTCCGTTCCGGAGGTTGGCGAGGGGTTGGGGTCGTTGACGGCTGCACTGGAGAAGCCACGAGGGCCGGGCTCCCTGCGGGAGATCAGCCCGGTGTTTTATGGGTCTGTGCGGATTTTGTCTGAGTCAACGTAAGAGACGCTTGTCTTCCTAGGAACTTGGTGGTGCAGGGCTTCCCTGCTGTTCCTGCACACGGCCCACTCATTTCTGCCGGACCGGCAGTGATCCCTCCTGTCATTCCTGAATTTGGTAACAGTTGTGTGCTCTCTCTCGTGTTGCGGGTGGCTCTACCCAAGGATTCATTTCACCCATCTTTCCAAAGAGCTAACTTTTGGCTTTTCTATTTTCAGTTTCACTGATTTCTTCCCTAGTCTTTGTTATTTTCTTTTGCTTCCTTGGGGTTTCATTCATTTGCTCTTTTTTTCTAGTTTGTTTGTGGTCACACCAGTGCACAGGCCACCGCTGCAGCCTCAAACTCCCGGCCCCAAGCGATCTTCCCACCTCGGCCTCCCACGGTGCTGGAATCACAGGCGTGAGCAACTTTTTTTTTTGAGATAGTTTCGCTTTGTTGCCCAGGCTAGAGTGAGTGCCGTGGCGTCAGCCTAGCTCACAGCAACCTCAAACTCCTGGGCTCAAGCAATCCTCCTGCCTCAGCCTCCCGAGTAGCTAGGACGACAGGTATGTGCCACCATGCCCGGCTAATTTTTTCTATATAAGTTGGCCAATTAATTTCTTTTTTTTTTATAGTAGAGATGGGGGTCTCGCTCTTGCTCAGGCTGGTTTCGAACTCCTGACCTCGAGCAATCCGCCTGCCTCGGCCTCCTAGAGTGCTAGGATTACAGGCCTGAGCCACCGCGCCCAGCCAGCACCTAGGGCTTGAACTGGCAATTTAAGTGGTTGGTTGTACGTGGTGTGCATTTCCCCTCACTTAAAATTAATTAGCAAAAGATAGTTACTAAAATCGCCAGCTGTTTTCGAACTGGACAGAAGTTTACCTCGCTGGGACTCGTGTGGGACACGGCAGGTCAGGGAGGCGGCTGTGTATGAGAAAGGAATGAGCAAATTGAGTCCAGCACCTGAAATTATGAAGTGGATTTAGCCCAAGAATATATGACTTCAAATCAGAAAAATGAAGTGGATTTAGCCCAAGAATATATGACTTCAAATCAGAAAAATCTGTGTAGTTTGCAGATAACAGGTCCAGAAGAAAACTACATGTGAAGATTTAGCTCTCACTAGGGTAACTTCTGCCTGGCCAGCAGGGACGGGAAGGTGCCCAGTGCCAGGAGGACACCCCTCAGGGCCAGGCCTGGCTGCTGCTTCCACGGAAACACTCGGCTTGCTGCCCCCCGGGACCCCACCCCTCCTAGCTTCCTGCCTGCCTGGACACCTTGACCTCCGCCCCAGGCGAAGGTGGGAATTGGTACTCAGCCCACCCTGCCAGACGCCTCCTGCCTGTCAACTTCCACTGCCCGGCACCTGCGAGCCCCTCGCACCCTGTCCCCATCTCCGTATCGGACACCGTCCTGGTAGCTGCCCAGGCCAGGACAGATGCTGTCTGCACTCACCAGGGGTCCCCCTGCCCCAAGCGCTTGCCTCACAGGCCATCAGAAACCCTGGGAAAATCCGGGACCCAGCTACCTGCTCAGCCAACACCCTTGGGGGCTCCAGGACACAAACCCGCCCAGGCCCGCAGTTGCTTTTCTCCACCCTCGAGCCTCTCGGTTTCACTCCGCGAGGTCTCCCTGCCCCTGGGAGGAGGGCGGGGACTCCTGTCTGTTCACTGCTGAAGCCCAGAGCCCCTTGGCACGTGCAGTGAAGTCGAGAACTGAGGCGCCCACACCCATGTCTACACAGGAGACTGCGAGGTTAGCGGGGCTCTCGCCAGCAAAGTCAAGTGCGCCTCGTTACATTTTCTGACCTTCCTATAAAAGACAACACTAAAATAGCATCAAACATCAACGTACCTGGGGACCAGATGTCCCTAAAGAACCCACCTTCAGGGAGAAAACGACAAGACTCAACGGAAGGGCATCTGCTGGAAACAGACTGCGCCTGGTCTCCGGTGCTGGGGAAGATGCCCGCCCTCCGCACCCTCATCTCTGTTGCTCACGAGCCCTTGGCTGGTCACAAGAGTGACCCCAAGACTGGGGCTTGGGGCCAGGTGATACCAGCCTGACCCCATGGTCCGTGGCTCCCTCGGTCTCTGCATCACGAAAGCCCAGGGCCGTTTCCTGGCGGTGAGCACAGGACGGGCAGGAAGCCGCGGCCGGGCCTCCCGGACCTCACCCGCGGTCCTGTCGTGTGGCGGCTCCTGGTGTGTGTCCTCACAGCTGCGGTCCCCACCCCTGGGCCATCGGCCAGCCCAGCCCACGGCCATTCAGGAGCCGGCCGCACAGCAGGTGACCCAGTCGGGCGAAGCTTCGTCTGTGCTTGCAGCTACTCCCATCGCTCGCTTCACCGCCTGAGCTCCGCCTCCTGCCAGGTCAAGGCACCAGCTGCAGGAGAACAAGCTCGGGGCTCCTGACTGTGTCGTGGTGAGTTGTATGATTATTTCATTATTAGTACAATGTGATAATAGAAATTAAATGCACAATAAATGTAACGTGCTTAAATCATCCCAAAACCACCCCACTCAGCCAGTCTCCATCCACAGACAAAGTCTTCCATGAACCTAGTCCCCCGTGCCTTAGAGGCTGGGTCCGACGTGCGGCGCTCCTGGGCTCTGCAGGGCACTCTAGCACATAGAGGGATCCTCGTGGTCGTGGGCCCCCTGACCTGTGGCTGGGGTCTGCCATGGTGCCGGGTGGTGGCGTCAGCAGCGCAGAAGGGCAGTGGCAAAGCTGCCAGTCGGGCCGACCGCAATGGCCTAACTCGGAACTCCTCGCTGCAGAAGCCCCTCCAGCCCGCCATGGATAGTCTGACGTTTACACGTGAGGGCAAAGTGCCCAGAACACGGGACTCTGCCGCAGGACGAGGCCAGCGCCCCTCCCAGCAACGGGACAGTACACATGGAAGCTGGCCGTATAGACGAGGGACTGGTATCCACCCACGTGGGAGTGAAGGAGCCGAGCACCAGGCATGGAAAACACCTTCACATGGATTACGGACTGAAGCGTGAAAGGCAAAACAAAACCACCGGATTTTCATCATGGGCAGATCTCGGTAGGGGAAGAGTTGTTAAATGGGGGAAGGCCTGGCCCCCACCTGCTTCAGCTGCTCTGGGTGGGCCCCTCCTGTCCTCCGTGTGAGCCCCACTCCCCAGCCTCTAGGTCCACCCGGAGCCCAGGGTCTGGGCAGGACGCATGGGCTGCCCACCTGCCCTGGCACAGGGGCAGAGGGACGGCTGCCAGGAGACCGCAGGACCCAACTCCTCCCACCCCAGGGGGCCCGTGGGCATCAGAGCACGTGCAGGGGCCACGAAGGTGCCCACTGCCTGGGTCTGATAGTCACGTTAACAGCTGGCCAGGACCACAGCAAGCCACGACCGCCTACTCAAGCAGAGTCCTACACAAGAGGCCAGGTACCAGGCCGTCCCTGGAGACTTCCCAGAACCACCCACAGGAGCAGCTTTTGCCAGGGACAGGATATGGGAATGAGTTCAGAGCTCAAAGGGACCACATGACAGAGGCTCCAGCCAGCCAGGGGCGGCAGCCTCAACCTGTGCCCAACCCCAAGCTGGGAGACAGGGGTGGGAGACGGCAGCCAGAGGGCTCAGGACAGGGCCCCCTGTGCCTGGCTTCGTGCACAGAAATGCCATGTGCCACCTCTCCAAGCCCCTAACTTCCCCAGCCAGCCCAGGCTAGACGGGATTCTGCCCTCAAAGGGCTGAGTCCACGTGTTCCACAGCAGTAGGGAGGATACTGACCCCGTGGAGGCGTCAGTCCCTCGGACTGACAAGAGGGCAGGTCGGGGTGGGGAGCAGCAGCCAGGCTAGGCCAGGCGCCCCCCCGCAGGGCTGGGCCTGCTCCAGCAGCCGGGGTGCGGCTCAGGCGTACACGCAGCAGCAGCCGCAGCAGCCCACCGCTCGGGAGAGCGGCTCTCGTTGCGGCAGTCGGCGACCCGCGGGGACCCCACTGGGAGGCTCAGAGATAACGCAGAGGCTGCACGTGGCAGGTACAGAAATAAATATTTTTTAAACTTCTCTCATAAATATGCATTAGAACATCTGATAACACAAGCAAAGGGCTCTGAAATTAATTTAAAATTAAACCAAGACTGCGTTTCCAGTACGAAGTAGTAGGACAGTAGGTTACCTAAAACATCCTGACCCCAAACACCTTTGAAGACAGCAGCCCCCGAGGGCCCACGGCCCCCTCAGTCCCGGGGCACCTTGAACTGGTCCTTCTCCCTGCGGATGGCGCGCATGGTGGTCACGGGGTCCGTCTCGCCCGCGTGCTGCTGCACCGTCTTCTCCCTGCGGAGGCGAGGCCGGGCTGCGGGCCGCGTGCAGGGCACACGGACGTTCTCGCAGAGGAAGCAGCGGCAGGCGGGGGTGTCTGCCCTGGGAGACCCTTGCCGGCCAAGCCGGGGACCTGGAGCAGCCCAGAGGGCAGAAACACCCCAACCCCATGCTGCCCGGGCAGCGGCTCCAACTCTGACGGAGCCTGGGCCTCCAGGGTCCTGATGGAGCCACATGCTTGCCACTGGGCCAAGAACAATGTCCCCTCTAAGACACAGGGCCCAAGTCCCCAGCTGGCCTTGGTGGGGCTCTGCCGTGTGCACGGGAGGGGACCACGGGAGGGGACCACGCACAGCCCGCCCGCCTCACCTCACTCTCATGAAGGGGTTGTAGGTGAACTCCTCCGCCAGGGTGGATGGCACCGTGGGCTCCCCGATCCCGTATTTTGCCTGCAAGAGAGACCATCGCTTGAACCTGGGAACTTCTAAAGATGACATTTCGAAACACCTTTCGATGCCGAGAAGGCGAGGCGAGAGGGTCCAGTCGGCTTCTGGCCACAGCAGGGAGGAGAAGGGAGGAGTCTCCCGGCCCTGCCGCCTCGGCGGTATGGAGGGAGGAGGAGCTTTCTCATCAGTGGGAAGTTTGTTTCACGTTACAGAAGCAGTAACGGGCAAAAATGCAGAAAACACAGAAAAGAAAACCACAGCCCCAGCTGGAAAGCAAGCATGTGGGGGTGCAACAGCAAGGTGATAGGTGACCGTGCCCGGCCCCTCTCTGGGCGACATCCCCTCTGAGGGTGGTGGGCAGAGCGCCCTCTCTCACAGGCCCCCACGGCAGGGCCCGGCACGGAGAGCCTGTCACCTCCACTCGGGGATGGTCTCGCTCCTGAGAGACCTGACCTGGGCAGGCGAGCGCGCGGACCACCGCCGGCCACTTCCAGGTCCTGAGGAAGCTCTGCCGTGGGAGGAGGGCGGGGCCGGGACAGAGCGCGGCAGGGAGCTGCCGCCCCACCCCGCTCCCTCACCGCCCCCCAGGGCCCTCAGCCCAAGGGTCCCTGTCCACCCCCTGCTGCGAGCAGCTCACTGAGCAGCAGCGATTCTCCCCCCCAGCCGGAGGGGGTGTGGGGGTGTCGGGCAGGGGCCTGGCTTACAGCTAATCCGTTCTTTCCTTCTGGTGAGGACGGCCTTAGACCACCTCAAGTAACTCCCTGCGCTTCTGTGTTCTAAGAAATCTCCCTCCGCCTCACTGAGGGAAGGAAAGTCAATGCTGCTAACGACAGTTTTTTTTTTGTTGTTTTTTTTTTTGTTTTGTTTTGAGACAGAGTCTTGCTTGTTGCCCAGGCTAGAGTGAGTGCCGTGGAGTCAGCCTAGCTCACAGCAACCTCAAACTCCTGGGCTCAAGCAATCGTTCTGCCTCAGCCTCCTGAGTAGCTGGGACTACAGGCATGCGCCACCATGCCCAGCTAATTTATTTATTTATACATATATATGTATATATATATATATACATATATATATATTAGTTGGCCAATTAATTTCTTTCTATTTATAGTAGAGATGGGGTCTTGCTCTTGCTCAGGCTGGTTTCGAACTCCTGACCTTGAGCAATCCGCCCGCCTCAGCCTCCCAGAGTGCTAGGATTACAGGCGTGAGCCACCGCGCCCGGCTTAACGACAGTTTTAAGGTCTTCACATGTATCACATATATAGACCGTCACAGCCTTTGGATT